GATTTTTCGTAAACTCAGATGACTCCTTCCATATCACTAAAATGCAACAAAAGAAAAACTAAATCACAGTCTAACAATAAAACCTCCATGTCATCTCTTCTTCCTCTTTCACTTTCTCTCTCTTTTTCCCTTACCTCTGCAAACCAGATCTGGGTTTTCTCTCAAACTTCATCTTCTTCCTCCTTTCCTCCTCCTTCCTCCTTTCCTCCTCCTTCCTCCTTTCCTCCTCCTTCCTCCTTTCCTCCTCCTTCCTCATCCTTCTTCTTTCTTCTTCTTATTCTTTCTTTCTCTCTCTTCTCCTTCTTCTTCTTCTCTCAAACCCAGATCTGGGTTTTTCTCAAACCTAGATCTGGCATTTCAGCAACCTCGCTTGCTCGTGGCACTGCTACTTCGACGGCTCAAGCTGGACACCGTAATTCCCTAGCGGCCCAAGAAGAAGGTGGTGGTTGTAATGGGGCCGACCAGAGCCGCCAAGTCACGGCTCTCCATCGAACTCGCCACCTTGTTTCCGGTGGAGAGCATAAACTCAGACAAAATACAAGTGCATGAAGGACTGGACATTGTCATTGTCACCAATAAAATAACAGAGGAAGAACGAAAAAGAGTTCCCCACAAACCTAGGCTCCGAATCGAGTCTCTGCTAAGGATTCTGTGATGGGTCGCGAGAGCAATTCGACGATTGTCACCACGGCCAACGGGAAGATAAGGACCACGACAGTGACAGCTCTTGCACCAGGATTTCAATTCCACCCGATTGATGAAGAGCTGGTCAACGACTACCTCAAGAGGAAGATTTTGTCTAAACCCGTGAGGTTTAATGCCATTGGTGAGGTCGATATCTACAAGCACGAGCCTTGGAACCTCGCGGGTAGTCTTCTATTTCTCCCTTTTATCTATCTGCTCATTTCCCATTTGTGTTTGCTCTTCTGCTTGTTTATTGTTCTACCATGCTCCGATATGCTTCTTTGAGTTTCTGCTTCTCCACGCCCAGATTTCGATACAGCGTCCGGGTCTGCTCGACCCGATTACTGGTTCGGTAATGTTTCATAAGGTTGAATGAGAGGGATCTAATGTTGATGGAGGAGATTATACACGCCACCAAAAAGGGTACCAGGTTGTTGGACATGTTAGGTTTTAGAGATGAGGCGCATTCTAGATCTGGGTTTTTCTCAAACCCAGATCTAGAGAGGAAGAAGAGGAGAGAAAAGAGAGAGAGAATAAGAAAAGAAGAAGGATGAGCAGGGAAAAAGAAGAATTTTTTTTTCTGACGTTTAGGATGAGCAGGTAATGTTTCATAAGGTTGAATGGGGGGAGGAAACCTAGATCTGGGTTTGAGAGAGAACCCAGATCTGGGTTTGCAGAAGTAAGGGAAAAGGAAAGGTAAAGGAGAAAGAGTGAAAGAGGAAGACGAGATGATGTGGATGAAAAAAATATATATCATTAGTTTTAAATAAATAAAAAATGCCAACTCATAAAAAAATTAGTCAACTATGTTTTTTTTTTTCCATGTCATTGATTAAAAAAAGAAAAGAATTGATTTGCTGGCATTTTAACGTGCCACCTGTCATTTAACTGACGGAAGGACCATTTTGGTACCAAAAATGAAAGTTTAAGGATAATTTTGGTACTTTTTAAAGGTGAGGGACAGTTTTGGTGCCAAAGTGAAAAGTTGAGGGACCAAAATGGTACTTAAACC